AATATATATGATCCTTAAACCACTGTATAAAACTTTGATTGTGCTCTCGTACTATCCAATTTTCATTTCTACTTTGATTCTCACCTCGGAGTATAGCCTTGTGCATTTCAACAAACGGCTCAACCTCAGTGTCATTGTGCAGAACATACAAATGCACTTGATCCCGTTCATCCCTTGATACTGTCACAATTTCATTTCCAATTAATTTGTTACCTTCTTTTTTTTCGAAAAAATGAGATTTGGGGAGTCCAATGGATTTCACATTGGACAAAAAATCAGTACAAAACTCAACCGCTTCTTCAACAACGTATCGCTCAACGATACAACCCTCTGGACGACTTCGGTTTTTCACATACCCTTTTAATATTTTCATATAACGTTCAACAGGGTACATCCACTCATATAAGCTGGTCCACAAAATTGTGTCTCTTTCACAAGATGAACAACAAGATGTACCATAATGTCAAAAAATGATGGAGGAAAATACATTTCAAGGTCACACAGAGTAATAACGATTTATTTTTGTAATACTGGTAAGATCTTAGGATCGATCACCTTACTACAAATTGACCTGAAAAAAAACACAATTTAGTTATAGCTCTTCTTACTTTTTCTGGAAAAATAGAACGTATACCTATTGGTAGAAAATGTTCCATTATGACATGGCAATCATGTGTCTTCAGACTCTTTAACTTGAGGTCTTTCATGGACACGGGTCTTCTAATGTCTGAGGAGTAACCTTCTGGAACTTTAACTTCACTCAGAAACTTACACAATATTTTCTTTTCCTTTCTAGATAGAGTTTAAGAAGCAGGTGGTAGATATGTTCGTCTTCCTTTCTTCACGGGTCCTAATTCAGTTCTTATTCCCATCTGTACCATGTCCTCTCTTGCTTTAAGGCCATCCTTAGACTTTCCTTTTATATTGAGTAACGTACCAATAACACTTTCAAATACATTTTTTTCAATATGCATAACATCAAGAAAATGTCTTACGTACAAAGATTTCCAATATGGCAATTAAAAAAAATTGACCTCTTCTTCCATCCACCTGTGACAACTTTATGTGCAAAAGGCTTGCCAAACTGAATACTCACATCTTTCACCTTTTCACAAATTTGATCACCTGTCAATCCAGGTGGAGCTCTACGTTGTTTGGTATTTCCATTGAACGCTTTTCTCCATCCACGATATTGATGTTTTGAATTTAAGAATCTACGATGACCGAGAAAGACATTCTTTTGACAAAGTTTCAATCGTGTCGTATCGGTTCCATCTTCATAGATAGGACACGCTTTTTCACCTTTAATGCTATACCCGAATAGATTTCCATATGCTGGAAAATCGTTAATTGTGCCAAACAACATCGCCCTCAAATTGAAACTTTCTTTCCTGTATCCATAATAAACCTCCACACCGTTCTCCCACAAAATCTTCAAATCTTCGATTAAAGGTTTCAAGTATACATCTATGTCATTCCCTGGTTGTTTAGGCCCAGAAATTAACATAGATAACATCATGTACTTGCGCTTCATACATAGCCATGGAGGTAGGTTATAAATCATAAGAATCATAGGCCATGTGGAATGTGAGATACTTTGAAGACCATGCAGGTTCATTCCATCCGTAGATAATGCCAAGCGAAGGTTTCTTGTTTCTCCTCCAAAATCAGGATAATCATTATCAATTTTCTTCCACTGTGGTGCATCTGTCGGATGTCGAAACTTTCCATCGATAATTCTTTCATCTGCATGCCAAGTCAAGTGTCTAGCATCAGTTTCACTACGAAACATGCGTCTAAATCTCGGAATAATAGGAAAATACCATAAGACTTTCGCTGGAGATAATTTTTTCTTATATCGAGATAAACCGCACTTTGGGCACTCATTCAACGATGCATATTCGTTTCGAAACAAAATACAATCATTTAGACATGCATGTATCTTATCATAGCTCATGCCAATAGAGCACAACATTTTTTTGGCCTCGTAGGTTCGATTAGGAAGAACATTATCCTCAGGAAGCATATCTCTCAAAAGGGCTAATAATTGTGTGAAAATTTTATCCGACCATCCATTACGCGCCTTTAAGTTGTACAATTTTAATACCGCAGACAATCTTGTGAAATTGGGGCAATCTTTATACAACGGTTTCTCCGCATCGCTTACCAACCTCTCAAACATTTTGGGACAATCTTGAAGATCTTCTTCAAGTGCTTCTGCAATCTCTTCAACCCGATCACAATCATATGTATCCGTGGCATTGTCGTACGAAACATAGGTCGCATTACTTTTCACCCGCGGTTCAACATTCTTGATGCTTTTCTCACCATGAAATATCCAACACGTATAACTTCGATCAATTCCGAGCATTAGTAAATGCGATTTCAATCCATCTGCGTCAACCCGAACCACATAACAACAACCCAAGCAAGGACATTTCATTATATTCGGGTCTTCAGCGTGTTCAACAGCAAACTTAACGAACTCTAATACCCCATCCTCGTACTCTTTTGACAATCGATCGACACACATCCATTTTTTATCCATGGTTTTAACTATTATCTAAGTTAAAGAGTCTGTGTTGTCAACAAAAATCAAACATGTGATTAGAAAAATTCTTGAAATGAGGATTGTTGTGGTCCTATAACATATTCAATCAATGATCGTCAACGTTACAATTTTAGAGACATTAGCTTAGTTGTGAACTCATTCTAAGATTCATGATTTGTGTTATTTTTTACTATTACTAAGTTTAATATTAGATGGGGGGTTTACATGATGTGATTCCTTTGTTCCTTGCAGGCATGTCTACATGAGCTAAGCATACATTATGAGAAACAGAAAAGAAACAATGTAGGGAAATTAAGTGTCATGTTGAATGGTAACTCCAACATCTCCTAGTTATGCTTTGTTATGACTCGGTTTGTCTCTGCTATGTACAAACTCAATCCTCCACTATCTTATTCTTCTCCCATCATTGAGAAATCTAAGATTATTAAACCCATTACAAGTATTTTGACTAGTCCATAATATATCTTAGATTTAAAAAAAATCAAAATAAAAGTTTCAAAAGAGAGAATAGAAACCATAATACCTAAGGTTCCTCGGCTTTTACTCGCGGAGATTGTTAATTTTCTATTTCGCCGTAAGAAGAAAAACAATAAGAAGATGAAGATTCCAGCAAGAGCAGAAGAAGCAATCAATGCTAGTAGAATTCTCTTATTCAAATTCTGGTGATGCACTATTCTAACATCTTGATTTCCTGTATCATTCATTGTAAAAACAATACATCAAAGTCATTAGTCTCGTTAAACCAACTCAGTTAATTGCAGTGCAGAAATATAAGATATATTAAAATTGACATATGGGTTTGCATGATGCATATTTTCCAGTTTTGTATGATGCATTTTTTTTCTTTGATTTTTACTGCATATCATCTGTTCTTGGGGTTAAACAGAATTATCTGTGAAACTATGCATAGGAAAAGGGGGTCAAACTAAAAGCTTATTATCATACTTGTACTACAAACTTGAACAACAAACTTGAACAACAAACTTGCCAAATGAATCACATGGTGCTATTATTACTATTTTTTTGTGTGAATCTCATGAGAAATGGATGAGATGTAACGTTTTTGATAGAAGAGGTTCTCTGGCCAAGACTCAAGACAAAGGAGGGATGATGGTGACATGCTTTACTGGGCCCTCTGTGGCTTATAGTATGATGGAGAAAACATACTGTGTTAAAAATTGTGCGTTATTGGAGAAACTGGGAGAGATCAAGCTAATAACTTATGTATCTTTAAATGGTTTTATTGTTTTTGTTTACTATTACCAACATTATTTGTGGTTGCAGGATCAAACTAAAAAGGTATTGGGATATATATCATATGCGGATGAAGAAATAATTCACAGATGAGGAAATACTTCCCGCAATAGAAGCCGGTACCAAAATAGTGAGCTTTTAATTATTTCTTTCTGTTTATTATTTTTGTTTTACCGTGACCAACATAATCTGTGGTTGTAGGATCAAACTATAATGATAATAATGGGCCATGAATCATCTGCAACTGAGGTGCAAACTCCAGCCATGGAAATTGCTCCTAAAGAAGTGAGTTCTTAATTATTTTTATTTTAGCAAACATGAGAATTACCGTGGTGTATTTCCTTGTAACCTATCACTCTTTGTATTTTCTTTTTAACTTGAGTGGCTTCAATCCTGCAACACATCAAACCTTCTATGGTCATGATTTAGCATTTGTTACTTTTTTCCTTCAGTAGTGAAGCTCTTATAAAGATTAATGGTCCCTCTTAACAGTCCTAATAAAAATTAATGGTCCCTGGCTCTTAACAGTCCTAATATAAAACTAATTTTTCCGAACTCGCTTTAGCTGTTTTTGATTGGGTTCGCAACCAGCAAGGTTGTGCTAATCTTCTAACCGGTTCTGCAGTTGCTGTTATTGTTAACATCCTCGGCAAAGCGGGTCGGGTTTCATATGCCGCGTCTTTGCTTCGAACTCTTGAGAAGGATGGGTTTGAGATTGATGTTTATGCTTATACTTGTCTGATAACTGCTTATGCTAGTAAGGGTAGGTACAATGATGTTGTCTCTGTCTTCAATAAGATGCAACGAGATGGTTGCACCCCTAATCTCATTACATATAATTCCATGTTGAATGTTTATGGAAAAATGGGTATGCCTTGGTCTCGTGTTAATGCGCTTATTAGTTTATAGATTTCCGTAGAGATGTCAGAGAGAGACAAGAGGTGGCAGTGAGACAGGTTAGCTGCTGCAAAAGCAGTAGTGAGCAACAACAACAACAGAACACAATCATTACTTTTATTATATCCATCAGAACAAGATTCTAATCTAATGCTTCCACTTCCCTCTCAATCCTTAATAAATAAATATACCTACTACTTCACACATGTATTCTATTATCATTCATTATTTATTACCATTACCTCTCTCACTTCTTTATACCAATCAATCAATAACTATGAACAAGAACGAGTTCCCTTTTACTCCTTCACAATGGCAAGAGCTTGAACATCAAGCCCTTGTTTACAAGTACATGGCTTCTGGTATCTCTATTCCTCCTGATCTTCTTTTCACCATTAGAAAAAGCTTTTTGGACTCTCCTATCTCTTCAACACTTTTGCCTAACACCCAACAACATCATTGCAAGTCTTATATCTTAAGGTTACAAAATCAAAATACTATTTTAATCCTCTATCATCAACTTTTTTACCTACGCTCAAATGCACTTTCTATGACCCTATTTTTAATGCAATTGCATCGGAGAATACAGGTTCATGAAGCTATTCTTTTTTACTACATTTTTTTGTTTTTCAGTTGGATGGAACTATCTGCAGATGGGTTTGGGAAGAAAGATAGATCCTGAGCCAGGAAGATGTAGAAGAACAGATGGAAAGAAATGGAGATGCTCAAAAGAAGCATATCCAGATTCTAAATACTGTGAGAGACATATGCATAGAGGAAAAAATCGTTCAAGAAAGCCTGTGGAACTTCTGAAAACAACAACAAATAATGCTTCAACGTTTGCAAACTCATCCATCACCAAAAATACTTCTTCTTTGTCCTTTGATACACAACAACACTAAAACTACCCTCAAAATTCTTGCTATGCTTCCAATTTGCAACATTCCTTTATGTATCCTCAGACAACATCAAGGTCATCAGCATCTTCTGGTATTGGTTTGTCATTTGAAGACAATAATGGTTCCTTGTTTCTTGACAGTAACTCTTGCTCTCAGAATATGTGTATGGACAATAATGGTTTGATTTGTTTTTTCTCATTTGGTAAAAAAAGGAACAGGTATGTGTATGGACAAAAAGCTGTTTATCCAAATATAATGCAGTTTTCCAATATCCACCAAACCATAATGTGGTTGAAGTTACAAAATCAGATTATGAGTCATGCCAGCAAACAAATCCAATTCAATCTTCCAATGATGGTGCCACAACCATTCCTCTCACATCACAAGGCAAAAGATACTTCATTTGTGGAACAATAGGGCATTGCAGCCAAGGAATGAAAGTTGAAATAAACACACTTGCCACTCAAATCTCTCCTACCTCTCCAGCTACAACATCTCCTCCAACAGGAGCATCTCCTCCAATAGCAGATTCTCCAATTGTTTCCATCATTCCCTCTGCAGCTCCACAAGAAACTACTACTCCTTCACCTGCAGAATCTCCTGAATCACCAAGTCCCTTGTTCCAAACACAAATGGAAACTCCTACATTATCTCCGGTTATTCCTTCCACTGAATTGACATATGTGAAGCAAAACAAAAGTATAAAAGCATGAGAATGCTTTGGACGACAAAACAGGGGCTGGAAGGCAGAGGGATACAAAACCTAAAAATAAATTCTTGGTGAAATGGAAAACCCTCAACCATGGACACGTTTTTATTTAGAATCTTAGATTACAATTATCATACCACAATAACATTCCAAAATCCAAACGGAAAAATTAGAAATTGGAGAACAACAATGAAGATTTCAAAAAAAATCAATTAAACTCTAAGAGAAACCTAAATAATTGCAATAGAAGGAGAAAACTGAACGAATCTGGAGAAAGAGTAAACTAATCACTGTAACTACAACTATCAATCCAAAATTTAGAAGGATGAAGAAATTTTACCTTATAGTGAAACTGGTTTTGTGAAACTTCTTCTTCACGAGGAGATGGTGGTAACGAATCCGAAGCGAGTTGGAGAAGAAGATGAACCACGGTTGGACGGTGAGGAGGGAGGAGACGAGTTAGACGAAGATGAACAGTTGCGTGTATAAAGTGGGGTTTTGTATAAAGTGGGGTTTCTGATAACCAATTTAGGGATTTAGAAATTATTTAATTACCTTAGACAGCGCTTTCAAGAAGCGCTGCTAAAGGTATTACCTTTAGCAGCGCTTTAGTGTAATGCCTTTAGCAGCGCTTCTTGAAAGCGCTATCTAAGATATACCCTTTATCACACCTTTAGCAGCGCTTTTAGTAAGCGCTTTCTAAGGTATACCCTTTAGCAGCGCTTATTCTTATTTTTTTATTTTTTTTATTGAAAATCTATAGCAGCGCTTAGGGAAAGGAAGCGCTGGCTATGGTAAATCCTTTAGCAGTGCTTTTAGTAAGCGCTGTCTAAGGTATACCCTTTAGCAGCGCTTATTCTTATTTATTTATTTTTTTTATTGAAAACCTATAGCAGCGCTTAGGGAAAGGAAGTGCTGTCTATGGTAAGGCCTTTAGCAGCGCTGTTTAAGGTATACCTTTAGCAGCGCTTACTCTAATTTTTTAATTATTTTTTTTGAAAACCTATAGCAACGCTTATGGCATAAGCGCTGTCTATGTGGCGCTGTCTAAATTCAATTTTGGCATAGTGAACAGTCCCTAACTTGAGCTGTCTTTGAACTTTCCGTTCGAAGGACAAGTGTATGCCCAATCCAGATCATTAACCATCTAATTTAACATACACAACTCAAATAATTAATAAAGCACATTCAATTAAAAAACATTCAATTATTAGTAAGAAAAACACATTCAATTAAAAAAACGCATCAAATAACATACATAAAACATTACAAATACTGCTTATGCATATACATATATGTGAGCAGTTTATTTATAGAAACTGGATCTGTCACACATGACTTGACATGAATGCTGATGAGAAGCTAAAAACTATGCATCTGCAGCTTGCTTAGAATTTGAAGGTCCCGTCAACTCAGAAAGAAAAGTCCATGAAAGAACTTCATGTGTTGCATATTCTGCTCCGGTGGTAGCTGAGAAACCAATCCTTACCCACTCAGGAACAACATCTTTCAAAGGCACAACATCACTATGAGCATAGCCAGTTAGATTTTCTTCCTCAAGTGAATTAGGATAAAGTAAAGTCACACTTAACACATTAGTAGTAGCATTAAAATTTATCACAACATGAGCCTCTTCAGCATTCTGAAAATTCCACGACTTAGTACTAATGGATTTGATACTGTTCACATCGATTCCAATATGTCTCTTTCCGTTGCTTGGATCCCAAGCAGCGTTATAGAAAGTGTCAAATTCAACAGCAACAGTTTGAGCAGTTTTGTCATAATCTTTGCCATTGAAAACTCCGAGATATCCACCGCCGGTTTGCGGCTAAGTATCTACAGGTGCGATGAAGAAAGTAAACCCGTCGGCAACGTTGTAACCGTTGGGTGCATCTATGACAAAAATGAAGGAAGTTGTAAAATCAGCAACGTTGCCTGTTTCGCTATCCCAGATAGAAATATGGCATAGAATGAGAGCATTTGGGTTTGAATGGAAGCCATTATTGGTAATAATTGCATGCATGCATGCTATCTGTTTATATATGGTGATGACTCATTCTACGTGTCTATATAGTGCCTTATAATGAAACACATACAAAACCATGTCCTATCATTTTCTACGCGTTCATCGAATCTTGTTTGAAGATAAAAATATTGTCTTTTGTTTAACTAGTTTATTGATTTATTTTTGCATGTTATAACTAGTGTATTTCTTTTAGGTTGTTCGTGGTAAGATCAAGGTTACTGTTTGTGTTCGGTTAGATAAAAAATAAAATTATATTTACAAAAAAATATGACTCATTATAATCTTCAATTTATTTTAAGAGTTTTTTTAGTTGCTGATATCTATTCAAAACTTGTGGAGAGGGTTCTGGAGAGGAAAAAATAATGATCCGAGAGTTCAAATTCAAATATATATATATATATATATATATATATATATATATATATATATATATATATATATATATATATATATATATATATATATATATATATATATATTCTTGTGAAAAATATTAAATTGGGTAACTTCTTTGTAAGGACAAGGAGAGTCGCAATATATGATAATTTTGAGAGATTCGAGTGGCACGAAGATGTTCGTACGTGAACTAGGGTGGGAGAACAGATTTTTGATTTTGCGTTTTATCGTAAATGTTGCGGATAACAAGAGTCGCCACCGACTTTTCTTTTATCCAAAAAGAAAATGGTGAAAAGAACAGGAAAGACCTTCGAGAATTTTCTGAGTTCGGGGGGTAGGTTACAAAAAGGGAAGGTGTTAGCATCCTTTTCATTCGTAATCATCTACGGGCTCTTAATCGCTAGCTCACTTTGTTTTGAAAATGTTTTGTGTGTGTTTGTTTGAAAATATTTGAAATCGCCTAAATGCCACAACTTTGTAATGATTCTTGTATCAGTTAAGAATGCGTACAAAGTGTTTGTTTGTTTTTATAAATATTTCAGAGAAAGTGTTCGTGAGAAAGATGTTTTGTTGTTTTTTGTGAACAAGCGATTACGAGCGATCTACCTACTCAAAAATATTTCGCGTTATTTTCCTCCTCCTTTAGATAGTGCTATCTTACCATTAGTTAGTAGGAAGCCCTATCGTTGGATGTGAAGGAACAAGCGTAGGGTCGTCGTTATGATCATTGAATGCAACATATAGGAATATCTTAGCAATTCAAAGGGACTGTCATCATATATTCGTAGGTAACATCGAGGGACAAGATCATTTCTCGTAGGCAACTCGAAGGATATCGCGGGACTATGATCTTTATGATGATTTTAATTGAGGGTCTTTGCTAAGGGTATCCCTATGTTCGAGGGACATGACCATAGTTTTTTTCGAAGGAAACAAGTGAGGTCACCCTAGAGATACGTGTGCGAAAAGTGATTCAATTCAGTTATTTATCTTGTTTAGGGTTAGCTATTGATTGCTTCTAGATCTTGTCATACAATCCTATTAGCAAACATCCAACAATTATATACAAAGTATAAAGTAAAAGTGCGGAAAAGTAAAGGTGCGGAAAATAAACCTAAACTACTACAGGGCTTCGGGGAAGGGGGTACAAAATCATAAAATTGGGGAGAAATAGTAAACCCTAATTAAAACTATTATATACTATATCAGATATATAATTGAGAAAAATAATGCGAAAATAATAAAAGTACGCGAAGATAAAAGAAGGAAGGAAATTTTTTTTTTAATGATTTTGCTTGATAAAAATTTGATGATTAACCTAAAACCTAATTGATTTTAATTGATTAAAAAAAGGTTAGTTAATTAAACAAATGAAACCCTAAAATCTAAGTCGATTTAATTTAATTAAGAAAATCTAAAAAAAATTAGGGTTGATTAAATTAAAGCTAAAATTAAATTAAATTGATAAAAAACCTGAAATTAAATTAAAACCTAAAATTAAATTAGGGTTTGTTAATAAAGGGTTTTGAAAAAGGTTTTGTGAAAGAATAGGAAAAAAGGAGTAAAAGAGTAAGGAAAATAGAGAATTGGAAAAAGAAATAACCAAATGAGTAGGGGTGGGTGTTGAACTCACGCCCTCAGCAGTTTCACGCAGCAAGCATACCAACAGGCAAAGCGTACGCTTGTGTTGGGAAAGGAAAACCAGCGCATTTTGTATCAAACCCTGCAAAATAGGATATATTAGAAAACAATGTGGCAAAAGGTTGGATCGCACCCATGCTCTTTGACACTAATTCCTTATCGCACGCGCTTCTACCGCTGGAGCGGCTATATATCCATTAATATAATTGAATCAATAAATATATATTATACGCCTGATTGTATTGACCGGAGAGACGCCGGATCCCTAGCTCCGGTCGTCTTCTCTGATTGTCCTCTTTTATCAAACCTGCAAAATAGCCATTATTAGAAAGCAAACTGTTGTACCCCAAAATTTTCCCTCTCACTTATCAAGATTTTTGCTCACAAGATCTCCTTGGGCTCAAGACTGCACTAGGGTTTGATCAGCTCAAGACACCTCTTTATGCACTAATGACCCAAAACTAGGGTTTGAGTTCGCACAAATATTTGTGAACCTCCTATGCCCCATATGATTTTCATGGATCATTATGGACCCCCAAGATTACTCATGTCAAGTTTCAAGCCTTGGATCAGTCAATTGAGCAGTTGACCTAAAAATCAATTGTATTGAGAAAAAGTCAACTATGGCCAATTTACAGTCAAACTTCATAATTTTTGATCCACATCAACATTTTAAACTCATATGTATCATTTGATCAAGTTTGGACCATAATTCCTCAAGAAATTTGATCAAATCTCCAAAAGGGCAAAATGGTCAAAATTAGGGTTTTGACTAGGAAAGGGAAATTTCTGATTTTTGACCTAGAAAATGGTCAATTGGTTTAAGGAATTATCTCAAGAGTCCAATTGCATCATTTTAACCTAATGGCATGGTTCAAAACATTGCAAGTCCATTGGATTGACATATGGTTTTTTCAGTCAACTAATCAAAAGTCAGTTGTATACTGAAAAGTCAAACTTTGTCTTTTTGGTCAAATTCAAGAGCCAAAGATCACAATTCATCAAAACATGTCAAAATATGAAACTTATTCATCAAGAAATCAAAAAGTTAAGATTTCATTTTAAAAAGTCAAAATTTCCAAACTTAGAAATTTTTCTAAGTGTTGGAAATTTCATGTTTTTTCATAACTTTGAACAAAATTTTCACCATGATGCAAGATGATTCAAGAGAAACTTCCAACATGAAAGTTGTAGATCTCCATAAAATATACAACATTTATTTACACAACTCCTTCCAAAAATTCTTGGATCTCAAGTTATAATTTTATGAACATATGGTCATGAAACTAAACACTTAGTGAAATTTTGCCCTAATTTGGTCAGGATTTTGACCCAACTTCATGGCACTTTTTCACATAGTTCCAAGGGGAATCTTCAAAATAAATTTAAAGATGGATTGTAGAGCACATTTCAAGCTTTCCAAAATGTCCAATAACTCCTTGAGATCATTCTTGAGTAGGGAGAATCGAAGAGATGAAGTTAGGGTTTTATCACTTGAATTACAAGTCATTTTTGATGAACACATGAACCAAATCCATGCTAGGCTGCATAGTCTTTTCTTTTCAGGCCTCAAACTTGTTTGCCACTCCATAATTAAATGTTTACATAGTTGTTAGGGCTTTGATCCAAGCAATTGAGCTATTATCCAAGTTGCATTTCCATTTATGGCACAAAGTCCATTCTTGAGCCTATAACTTGTTCCCTCTAATCACACTCCATCCACAAAGTCAGAAGCAAGCTTGCTTAAAGCTTAACCACTCTATAAACCAAGTACACAAGGCTTAGAAACTTGAATTTCTCAAAAATCACATGTTATGCATAAACTTGTGATTTTGAATTCTGATCAACAACAAGTCTCAAAACTTGTTGCTTATAAATAGAGTTACTATTTGTGAGCTAGGATACGAGCTTAAGCACCCTGAAATACACCAAAACTCTCTCAAATCAGAAATTGCCCAAAAACTCCATTGTTGCACAGTTTCTGACCTTGAACATCAAACTCACATTTCCCTCGTGCGTTTCTTGGCCTTTTAGTTTCTAAAGCTTCCTTACTTCAAGTGTAACATACACTACGAAAAAAAAATTTTTTGGCAGCGCATCTACGAAAGCGCTTTTAAGAGAAAGCGCTTTCGTAGCCTTTAAAAAAAATTCGCTTAAAAAAAGCGCTTTTATAGGGTTTCCTACGAAAGCGCTTTCATAGGTATTTGAAATATCTAACCTACGAAAGCGCTTTTGAAAAGCGCTCTTATAGGTGGCCCTATAAAAGCGCTTTTGAAAAGCGCTCTGAAAGGGGGACCTACGAAAGCGCTTTCTAAAGCGCTCTGAAAGGGGGACCTACGAAAGCGCTTTTTACCTCAAAAACGCTCTCATATATGGGTCTTAGAAAGCGCTTTTAAAAGCGCTTTCGTAGGTTGTTTTATAATTAAATTAAACGCCCTCACTTGTTCATTTATTCGTCTTCTTCATTCCGCCGTTCCTGTTCTAGAATCCCATTGCTGCGTTCGTCTTCCTTCGTCGCCGTCGTTCTTCCCTCTTCTTCAGTCGTCGCCGCCGTTCACTGCGTTCTTGTCCATCTTGGTAAGTTTCTTCTTCTTCCATTATCTGTTCCGTTATTTAACCGTTTAGTTCCTTCTTCTTCTCATTTCCGTAGTTTGCTCATAGACACTCTTGGAATATCTTAATACCACATCAATATTGCCTTCCACATTCTTGACAGTTTGTGCTACTAACTGTGTGTGACTATTAACTGATTCGAGAGATTCGGAAATTTGTTTTGATTTTTGTAATAGACAATCTGATTTCTCTTCAATGCTATCTAACTTGTCCTCCACATATTGAGCAGAATTTTTCAATTCAGTTACAAGTCTCTCAGTTTCATGTTTAAATGCATGTGTCCTGTACAAATATACAAACTTAGTTCAAGTTGAGGCAAAAACATCAAAGAATCACTCTTTAAAAAAATTGAATTATTGAATAATATTAGAAATTGAAAGAAAAAAAAAACTTCACTTAACTGTAGTTGATAGCAAATGGAGTTGGTTTCGAGGTAGA